ATTCACAACTGACTGACACGAATGTTAACTAGCATGCTAGCAAAAAAAAAAAAAAAAAATCAATAGCTGCATTCGTCAAAAAGTGGGAAAAATTTAAATCTGCATGGCACTTTACTCCAATTGGTATATCATTCGCTTGCTTCAAACTCAACGTTGATTCTGATTCCGCAGAATTGGGTTGGGTGTGAAAAAGTATTTGTTGTTAACATTTTTTTTCATTCGGTTTTTCCAGTTACGAGTCATTTTTTTAAAGCTGATCGTTTTGTGTTCATTTCGTTTAGTTCTTTTTTCGTAACAGATTTAATGTTTAGTATAGAGCTTAAAAAAAAAAACAGTGTGAGATAGGCAAGAAGTAAGGCATGTAAAAACATCAGCATGGCAAAAGCACTCCTTTAAATGCAAGGAAGGGCAAAAATATTTTAAGTCAAGTGATAGCGATTGCTGTATGATTCGTACGATTTTTGAATCAATCAACGGGCAACGCCGGGCCATGCTGCTAGTATACATATATACCTACATTTAATTATAGAGATATAACTTTGATGTTTGTTTTTCTAAAATTCGATTCAAATTTCGTTTTGGATGTCAGAGAGTATATATTTAAGACAAAAAAGGTACAAAAATGAAGAAAAATCCCATACTGATGCTAAAGTTCACTGTAACAATTGAAATCAATAAAAACCTGCAGAATATGACATGTACAGTCGAGAGTCAATTTTTTCAACCTTTTCAGCGAGGGTATCCTGAGAGACTTGGAAGTCCTACCTGGATTTATTATTGACGGCTACAATCTTAACAACATTAGACATACAGTATGGATAAAAGAAGATACAGGAGATAGTGAAGGAAAGTGGGAAGAAAGGACTAATTATCAGTTGTAAGAAGACAGAATGTACGGTTGTTAGAAAAAGAGTCAGCTCAACATGCAAGTTACAAATTGTAGACAGAAAGATGAAGCAAGTAAGATAATTTAAATATCTAAGAAGTATTTTGACAGGGGACGGAAAATGCGACATCGAAATTTGAAGAGTCATTGGGGTAGAGAAAGATGCATTCCAAAAGCTAAGCGAAGTATTATGAAGCAGGAAAATCTCGTTAGAAACAAAGAAAAAAAAAAGTACTGTTATATAAATCGGTCCTCCTATATGGATGTTGGTCAATCTCCTCATAGATGAAAAGAGACTTGAAGCAAGAGAAATGTGACTCTACAGAAGGATGCAGAGAATACCATGGACTGAAAATGTGAGCAAAGACCTTTTACGAAAAGTGAAAAGAAAAACGAAAATCAAATAGCGACAGTTGAAATTTCGTAGGGCACATAATGCGGAAAGGGGGCTTGGAGAATGTGACACTCACAGGATATGTTAATAACGTAGTAAAGTTTATTTAAGTATTGGTGAACTGGGAGCTTCGTTAAAAAGCAAGAGAAACTAGGATGTAATGAGGAAAGGTTAAAAAGATCCATAATATTTGGCAAGAAAGACAGGGGAAAACAGCGAATGACAAACCCAACGAGGTTGTGCAAATGGGTGTCAGAACAAGGATTAGGAGAGATTGCAAAATGACAAAACCTATTTAATGATAATTAAACATTATAATTTAACACAAACACATCACAATTATCCCATATCTATCTATTCATACCTATCTCAATGTAGGACGCCCATGGCTAATATACAAAGACAAGCTGAAAACAACTTGTCAGCAGTCAATATACCACATGACACCCTTGAGCGCTTAGCCTTGGAGCGAGTAGAAAGGAGATCAACGTGTTTTAGTGGACTCAGCAATTTTCAATCTGCTTGTCTGAATCATTTTCAAGAATCGAGAGCAAGATCTAAAAGGTCAGCCAATCTAACAGTGATCTCATCTCACAATCCTCACACTTGCTCCATATGTGGCCTCCTTTGTAAACCACTAGCGGGTCTTAAATGCCACTTAAGATTATCGCACAAAAAATTTCATAACTGAATCAATAAGCTGTCAGATCCTCATACGTCCATTATATATATATATATATATATATATATATATATATATATATATATATATATAAGACATTTAGTTTTATAGATAACTTTATTTAAAAAATGACTTGTTTATAATAAACAGTATTAAACAACATTTACCGGCCTGAATATTCGTCCCCCGTGAAAATTTCTTGGACATTCAAGCCGGTAAATATTGTTTATTATAAACAGAGCATTTACTTAAATATTTTTATCTATAAAAAGAATGTATAAACATAAAAATGTCTTAAAATAATTGTCAGACTTTGTCCATTTCATAATGTGTGACGTCATTTGTTTACATTTGGATGCGCTTTGAGCAGATATGAATTTACATGAGAGATTCATGGAAGATTGAAGACATTAAATTCGACCTTACTAACCGAACGCTCCTTCGTGGCCAAATTGGTAAAGGCGCGCCACGCTAGATGACGGTTCCGTATAGGATACAGGTTCGAATCCTGTCAGAGGACGAATATTTTCTGTGAAAATTTCTCGCACATTTAAGCCGGTAAATGTTGTTTAATACTGTTTATTATAAACAGAGCATTTACTTAAATATTTGTATCTATAAAAAGAATGTATAAACATAAAAATGTCTTAAAGTAATTGTCGGAATTTGTCCATTTCATAATATATATATGTCTGATTGAATAAATTACAGACGTTATGTCTGCTGAGTTTT